ATGATGATGATGATGATGATGATGATGATGATGATGATGATGATGATGATGATGATGATGATGATGATGATGATGATGATGATGATGATGATGATGATGATGATGATGATGATGATGATGATGATGATGATGATGATGATGATGATGATGATGATGATGATGATGATGATGATGATGATGATGATGATGATGATGATGATGATGATGATGATGATGATGATGATGATGATGATGATGATGATGATGATGATGATGATGATGATGATGATGATGATGATGATGATGATGATGATGATGATGATGATGATGATGATGATGATGATGATGATGATGATGATGATGATGATGATGATGATGATGATGATGATGATGATGATGATGATGATGATGATGATGATGATGATGATGATGATGATGATGATGATGATGATGATGATGATGATGATGATGATGATGATGATGATGATGATGATGATGATGATGATGATGATGATGATGATGATGATGATGATGATGATGATGATGATGATGATGATGATGATGATGATGATGATGATGATGATGATGATGATGATGATGATGATGATGATGATGATGATGATGATGATGATGATGATGATGATGATGATGATGATGATGATGATGATGATGATGATGATGATGATGATGATGATGATGATGATGATGATGATGATGATGATGATGATGATGATGATGATGATGATGATGATGATGATGATGATGATGATGATGATGATGATGATGATGATGATGATGATGATGATGATGATGATGATGATGATGATGATGATGATGATGATGATGATGATGATGATGATGATGATGATGATGATGATGATGATGATGATGATGATGATGATGATGATGATGATGATGATGATGATGATGATGATGATGATGATGATGATGATGATGATGATGATGATGATGATGATGATGATGATGATGATGATGATGATGATGATGATGATGATGATGATGATGATGATGATGATGATGATGATGATGATGATGATGATGATGATGATGATGATGATGATGATGATGATGATGATGATGATGATGATGATGATGATGATGATGATGATGATGATGATGATGATGATGATGATGATGATGATGATGATGATGATGATGATGATGATGATGATGATGATGATGATGATGATGATGATGATGATGATGATGATGATGATGATGATGATGATGATGATGATGATGATGATGATGATGATGATGATGATGATGATGATGATGATGATGATGATGATGATGATGATGATGATGATGATGATGATGATGATGATGATGATGATGATGATGATGATGATGATGATGATGATGATGATGATGATGATGATGATGATGATGATGATGATGATGATGATGATGATGATGATGATGATGATGATGATGATGATGATGATGATGATGATGATGATGATGATGATGATGATGATGATGATGATGATGATGATGATGATGATGATGATGATGATGATGATGATGATGATGATGATGATGATGATGATGATGATGATGATGATGATGATGATGATGATGATGATGATGATGATGATGATGATGATGATGATGATGATGATGATGATGATGATGATGATGATGATGATGATGATGATGATGATGATGATGATGATGATGATGATGATGATGATGATGATGATGATGATGATGATGATGATGATGATGATGATGATGATGATGATGATGATGATGATGATGATGATGATGATGATGATGATGATGATGATGATGATGATGATGATGATGATGATGATGATGATGATGATGATGATGATGATGATGATGATGATGATGATGATGATGATGATGATGATGATGATGATGATGATGATGATGATGATGATGATGATGATGATGATGATGATGATGATGATGATGATGATGATGATGATGATGATGATGATGATGATGATGATGATGATGATGATGATGATGATGATGATGATGATGATGATGATGATGATGATGATGATGATGATGATGATGATGATGATGATGATGATGATGATGATGATGATGATGATGATGATGATGATGATGATGATGATGATGATGATGATGATGATGATGATGATGATGATGATGATGATGATGATGATGATGATGATGATGATGATGATGATGATGATGATGATGATGATGATGATGATGATGATGATGATGATGATGATGATGATGATGATGATGATGATGATGATGATGATGATGATGATGATGATGATGATGATGATGATGATGATGATGATGATGATGATGATGATGATGATGATGATGATGATGATGATGATGATGATGATGATGATGATGATGATGATGATGATGATGATGATGATGATGATGATGATGATGATGATGATGATGATGATGATGATGATGATGATGATGATGATGATGATGATGATGATGATGATGATGATGATGATGATGATGATGATGATGATGATGATGATGATGATGATGATGATGATGATGATGATGATGATGATGATGATGATGATGATGATGATGATGATGATGATGATGATGATGATGATGATGATGATGATGATGATGATGATGATGATGATGATGATGATGATGATGATGATGATGATGATGATGATGATGATGATGATGATGATGATGATGATGATGATGATGATGATGATGATGATGATGATGATGATGATGATGATGATGATGATGATGATGATGATGATGATGATGATGATGATGATGATGATGATGATGATGATGATGATGATGATGATGATGATGATGATGATGATGATGATGATGATGATGATGATGATGATGATGATGATGATGATGATGATGATGATGATGATGATGATGATGATGATGATGATGATGATGATGATGATGATGATGATGATGATGATGATGATGATGATGATGATGATGATGATGATGATGATGATGATGATGATGATGATGATGATGATGATGATGATGATGATGATGATGATGATGATGATGATGATGATGATGATGATGATGATGATGATGATGATGATGATGATGATGATGATGATGATGATGATGATGATGATGATGATGATGATGATGATGATGATGATGATGATGATGATGATGATGATGATGATGATGATGATGATGATGATGATGATGATGATGATGATGATGATGATGATGATGATGATGATGATGATGATGATGATGATGATGATGATGATGATGATGATGATGATGATGATGATGATGATGATGATGATGATGATGATGATGATGATGATGATGATGATGATGATGATGATGATGATGATGATGATGATGATGATGATGATGATGATGATGATGATGATGATGATGATGATGATGATGATGATGATGATGATGATGATGATGATGATGATGATGATGATGATGATGATGATGATGATGATGATGATGATGATGATGATGATGATGATGATGATGATGATGATGATGATGATGATGATGATGATGATGATGATGATGATGATGATGATGATGATGATGATGATGATGATGATGATGATGATGATGATGATGATGATGATGATGATGATGATGATGATGATGATGATGATGATGATGATGATGATGATGATGATGATGATGATGATGATGATGATGATGATGATGATGATGATGATGATGATGATGATGATGATGATGATGATGATGATGATGATGATGATGATGATGATGATGATGATGATGATGATGATGATGATGATGATGATGATGATGATGATGATGATGATGATGATGATGATGATGATGATGATGATGATGATGATGATGATGATGATGATGATGATGATGATGATGATGATGATGATGATGATGATGATGATGATGATGATGATGATGATGATGATGATGATGATGATGATGATGATGATGATGATGATGATGATGATGATGATGATGATGATGATGATGATGATGATGATGATGATGATGATGATGATGATGATGATGATGATGATGATGATGATGATGATGATGATGATGATGATGA